CGCGGGCGCGGGCGCGGGCGCGGGCTCCGGCGCCGCGGGCTCCGCGGGCTCCGCGGGCGCGGGCGCGGGCGCGGGCGCCGGGGCCCGCCCCCGGGGCGTCTTGGGCCGCCGCCGGCCCCGGCGCCGCGCGTCCGCCGCGCGCGCGTCGCGCTCCTGGTCGAGGAGCGCGCGCGTCTTCTCGAGCTCGGTCGCCGCGCCCGCGAGCTGCGAGTCGCGGCGCCGGAGGTCGCGCTCGAGGGCCGCGCCCTTGGCCCGGAGCCGCGCGGCCCGCGCCTCGGCCGCCGCGCGCGCGGCCTCGGCCTCCCGCAGGGACCGCTCGAGGTCCCAGCGGAGGCGGCACGCGGCGACGGCCTTGGCCGCGGCGGCGACGCGCGCGTCCCCGGCGTCGACGACCGGCGGCGGCGCCGGCTTCGCCCGCCGCGCCTCGACGGCGTCGGCCGCGGCCGCGCGCCGCGCGTGGCGGCCTAAACGCTCCGCGGCGCGCGTCCGCATCGTGAGCTGGCGGATGCGGAACTTGAGCTTCCGCGCCGCCGGGTCCGCGGCCGCGAGCCGCGCGCGCCGCGCGCGCCAGGCGCGCTGCACGCGCGCCGCGGCGCTCGCCTCCAGCGAGTCGAGGTCGACCTCCATGTCGTCCGCGACGGCGACGGCGACGGCGAAGACGTCCCGGAGTTTCGGCATCTCGAGCGGCCGCGACGACCCGCCGCGCGCCTCGAGCAGCGCGAGGGCCTTGCGCAGCTCCGTGGCGAGCTTGAGCCGGTGGTCCTCGTAGGACACGCCCAGCTCGTCCAGGTGCGCGTAGAGCTCGCGCGTCTCGTAGCCGAAGCCCGACGCCCAGGCGCGCACGCGCTCCAGCGACGCCTCGCCCACGCGGCAGCCGTACTGGGACAGGCCGATGCGCTTGCACCAGGCCGCGCCGTCCGCGGGCGACAGGTCCTCGGCGGCCGTCGAGAGCGTGCCGCCCATGCTATCCCATTATCATCTCTATTAGCTAAAAAAAAACTGCTGCAACTTGCTGTCAGCGAGCTGAGGCGACTGCGCCTTCGTCGACCGGTCCAGCCTCTGAGTCGACTACCGCGCCGGCGTGCACCGGTGATAGCGCGATGGCGGCGCTCGCCGGCTTCGCGCCGCCCAAGAAACTGGCCGGCTTCGCGGACGCGAAGAAGCAGCTCAAGGGCTTCGCCGACGCCGCGCCGGCGAAATCCGCGGCTGCGCCGCTCACGAGCGCCGCAGCCGCGGCGCCCACACCCGCCGCGGCGCCGCTCAAGGGCTTCGCCGCGGCGAAGCCCGCGCCGCTCCAGGGCTTCGCCGCGGCGAGGCCCGCGCCGCGTTCCGCGGCGCCGTCGCGGTCGATCCCGCCCGGGCGCGTCGGCGGCCTCGTGCCTCGGGGCGTGCCGCTGACGAAATCCATCGGCGCCGGCGGCGCCGCGCGCCGGACCATGCTCGCGGAGCCGACGGTCGCGTCGGGCGTCTGCGACGGCTGCGGGTGGCGCGAGTGCCAGTGCGCGCACGCCAAGGTCGCGAAACTCGTCGGCCCGCCGCTCCCCGCGGACGCGCGGTGCCGCGTCTGCTTCGAGGGCCCCGAGGACTCCGACGAGCCCCTCGTGTCGCCCTGCGCGTGCCGCGGCGACTCCAAGTACGCGCACGCGAGTTGTCTCGCGGCGTGGGCCGAGGCCGCGTCGCGGCGCGGCGGCGCGCAGTCCTACAAGTGCCCGACGTGCAAGACGCGCTACTTCGGCGCGACGGCCGTCGCCCTCGCGGTGCAGCGCGTGGATCTAGAGCTGGACCGGCCCGCCGCGCCCGCGGACGACGGCGATTTGACGAACGTCGAGGCCGCCGTCTACAACATGAAGGTCGTCTGCGCCTACGAGGACGTCGCCTTGGACGCGGCGCTGCTCAAGCGCTACCTGAACCGCGCGACGCGCGCGGCCCGCGCGCCGGAGGTGCTCGCGGTCCTCGCGCGGCTCGACGGCGGCCGCGGGCCCGGCGGCGGCGGCGACCGGCCCGACGAGCGGGCGCTCGCGGCCGAGGTCGCGGCCGCGGACCCGAAGACGTCCGCGGACGAGCTCGACCTCGCGTCCAAGCGCCACGTCCTGTCCATGCTCGTCGTCGAGCGCTGCGTCCTCGCGCGCGAGGACGCGGGGGGCGTCGCGTCCGCGCGCGACGAGCGCCGCTACCTCGACGACGCGGAGAAGGCCAAGGCCCTCGCGGCCGCGGCCCTCGCGACGTGCCGCCGCATCCTCGGGCCGTCGCACCCGGACACGGGCAAGTACCTCCGCTTCTTCGGCCAGATCTCCATGGTCTGCCGCTTCCTCGGGGACAACGTCGCCACGCGCGCGAAGCGCGAGGCCGCCGTCGAGCGGCTCCGCGGCTAGGGGCGTCTTTTGCTGTTACGGGGGCCGTCGCCGCGCGCGCGCGGTCGCCTCGTTGATCGCGGAGATGTAGAAGTAGCCGGTCACCGTCGTGATCACGGGCAGGCCGGCGAGGCCGTAGCCGCCCGCCCGGCGGTAGAGCCACGCGACGAAGCGCTCCGTCAGCGGGATCGGCGGCGTCCCCGTCGAGACGCGGTGCGCGCCCAGGAGACCCCAGAACGGGAACAGCGCGGCCAGCGTCGACGCGACCCAGACGCCGTCGAGGGGCGGCGACGGCGCCGCTGCCGCTGGCGCCGCGGCCCGCGCTGCTGCCGGCGCTGCTGCCAGCGCTGCTGGATGTGCTGGCACTGCTGCTTGCGCTGCTGGCGCTGCTGGCGTTTTGAGCGGCGCCGATGCTTGCATTGCAGCGGTTATTGCAGACGGACTAGTGAGTTCTTTCGCAACGAGCGCATGCACCTCGTCCGCAGGCCGCGCGCGCATCGCGACGACGCGGGATGACGAGGAGAGCTGCAAGATAGAGCTGCGTCTTGTAAGTTGAAGGCAAACACATTTTTATTGACGCCGCCGCAGCATCTGCGGCTGCCCATCGCGCCGCCGGGAGTTGGCACCCGCACGGGAGGCGACTCGCCAGGGCATGGCCGACAAGCGGCTCATCAAGGCGACGAAGCAGGAGATAAAGAACGTGTTGGGGAAGGGATGGACCTGCTCCGTCTGCACGAAGCCCGCCAAGCTGAACTGCATCTGCAACACGGCCCACTATTGCTCGAAGGACTGCCAGGTGATAGACTGGAAGACCCGGGGCCACAAGAGCGCCTGTAAGAAAATCCGTGCGGGAGAGGCGGGCCACGAAGAGGCGAAGTCAGACCCGGAGAGCAAGGAACCGCCCGTCTTCTACGGACCCGCGCCTCGGTCGTACGCGGATGACGTGCGCGACAGAATCCGTGCGGAGCATGAAGCTGCGTTGGCACAGCGAACGGCGAAGGACGAAGCGGGGGCGGAAGTAAAGCGTCATGATTCGCGTTGTCCGATCTGCCTCGTGGACTTCGACATCAACTCGGAAGATGTTCTTCGTCCTTGTTGCTGGAAAACGATCTGCTTTCAGTGTAGCGTTAACATTGGCCGCGCGCCCTGTCCTCTCTGTCGCGAGCCGGCGCCGCTGACCAACGAGGCGGAGGTCGCGATGATACAGCGCGGCGTGGACAAGGGCATCGCTGCAGCCATGTTTCACTTGGGAGTAGCTCATGTCGAAGGTCACCTCGGGGTCCGCAAAGCTCCCAAAAAGGCTGTGAAGCTGTTTGAACGGGCCATCGAACTCGGGGATACGAATGCGATGACGCGTCTTCAGAAGATTTATCTAGATGGGCCAAGTGGTGTGAAGCGGAATCCGAAGAAGGCCAAGGAGCTGATGCAACGGGCGGCGGAGGCAGGTAATGTATGGGGCTACCACAACTTTGCCAACCTCTGCCGGAAGGAAGGCAACCATGAGTTGGCGTTCAAGTACTGCAAACTCGCAGCTGATGCGGGCATCGCTGCATCTGAGTACAATATGGGTGTATCGTACCTGAAAGGTGAGTACGCTCAAGTCGATCATAACGAGGGTATGCGCTGGATGAAACTCGCGGCTAGTCACGGTGACGAGGGTGCCATCAAGCTCATGTCACAGCTCCAGCAGCTCGCAGCCGGCGACCTGAAACTGAGCCGCCTCGATGACTGCAAGCTCATGTCACAGATCTCCGAGGCCGCGAAGAAGCATGCAGCGACCGGTGCCAACGAGCCTGCCGAGAAAACAGACTAGCCCGGTCACACAGATTCCGCAATCGATGCCTCCCCCCAACCCTCTCCGTTCCAGCGCGCGACAAGCTGTCCCGGCGCAATCAATTCGAAGTTTTTCTTTTCTTTCTTTTTTTTTCTTTTTTTTCAGCGGCTCTCGCGCAACACGCGCCGCCTCCTCTGCTCGGAACCTGACTGGCAACGTATCCCGCCTGCGGGATATGTTACTAGCCATGCCTCCCCAACCCCCGGGCACTGATAAGGCCGAAGTTACTCGTGCTCCTGGTATATAGGCGCGTGCATGAGCCAAAGCCGGAACCGGGATGGTCTCCGAGCCACGAACTCCCCCCCGCCCCGGTCGCCGCTCTGGGGAGCGCCCCTTAGGGAAGGGGCTTCTTGGGGCGCGCGGACGACGGCCGCGCGGGCCCGCGCTCGCCCGGGGCCTAGAGGTTCCGGTAGCCGCGCCAGTCGGGCGGGCAGATGTTGCCGTTGGAGGCCATGAAGTTGACGACGGCGGACAGGGGCGCGTCGTCGGACTGGCGCTCCATGAGCGGCTGGAGCAGGTCGTAGGCGAGGGCCCAGTTGCCCTCGAGGTACGCCGCGCGGCCGCGGCTGAAACTCGCGAGGTACGCGTCGCAGTCGCCCTTGGAGTCGAAGTCGAAGAGCGCCGTGAGCTCGCTGTGGCCCAGGACGCCCTGGGCCTCGAGCCAGCGCTCGGGCTCCGCGGGCAGGAAGTCGTAGGTGTGGAGCGTCGTCGACGCGTCCGCGCCTGTGTGGAAATCAACCAGTGGAACGCCCTGTCCAGCAAAAACTTCAAACCTCTCTAGCTCGGTCAAATCGAAGTCGATTCGGCTGACTTTTGGACGGGTCGATTGCTCTCATCGAGTCCTCGAAGCACGACCGAAGAAGCTGGTCTGAACCGTTCGATTACCCTCACATTGAAGTCGGGTTGAAGATTCGATTTCACGCAGGTCCGCGCCCTTGAGCTTCGCGCGGTCGATCTGCCGCACCGTCGCGCGCGTCGCCTGGGCAGGAAAAGGGTGATTCAAGTTCTCTTCAACATGAGTGTTCCGCGCGCGCGCGTTCCGGAAAAAGCATCCATGCTTCGGGACCGTTCCGAGAGCTGAACACTCGTCCAAAAATCAGCCAAAACGAGTGGGAAACGACCGAGATATGAGCCTTTGAAGTTGGGAATTTCGCACCCTTTTCCTGCCCTGCGCGTCGCGGGCGCGAGCTGGCTCACGAAGGGCCCGGACATGAGCATGGTCACGCCGTAGACCGCGGACGCCGCGAGCTCGAGGCGCGCGGCCAGGTTGACGTGGGGCGACATGAACGTGCAGTCCGCGTAGTCGTCGCCCGCGGAGCCCGCGGGCCGGTTCTCGATCGCGTGCCCAAAGTGGAGCCCCGACGCGAAGACGATGGCCGTGCCGTACTTGTCCATCTTGGCCACGACGCGGCTGATGGCCGCGTGGCGCGCCCGCGACGGCGCGTGGAAGCTGAGCCCCGCGCGCTTCGTCTCCGTCGACAGCCGCTGCGCGATGCCCGACACCGCGCGCCGCAGCTTCGAGTTCCGGTGGGGGTCGTCGTCCTCGGACCCGCGGAAGTCGCAGGCGGCCAACGCGGACACGAGCTCCTTGTGCTTCGGCGACACGGCGTTGACGTGCGCGACGTCGAGCGCCGTCCGCACGAGGGCCTTGAACGCGGCGTCGCAGCACGACACCTCGGGCAGGTCGTCGTAGCTCAGCCCGCCCCAGCCCGGCCGGTCGCCCGCCGGCGCCGCGGCGACCTCCGGCGCCTCGAGCTCGCTCTTGCGGCTCCGCCAGACGAGCAGGAACGAGTTGGCCGCGTTCCGCGCCTCGCCGCCGCGGTAGCGGTCGAGCGCGCTGCGCACCAGATGCGCGACGACGGACACGTAGGAGAAGACGACGTCCGACTTGACGTGGTTGTTGTTGAGCGTCAGGTTGTGGATGTCCAAAAACGCGAAGGCCGCCTGGATGCGCACGGACTCGATGGCCGTCGCGCCCTCGACGGCGAGCGTCGCGCCGCCGCCGTCGCCTAAAAGCGCGTCCGTCGTCCCGAAGCCCAGGCGCAGCAGTTCGGAGATCTTCCCGATGGAGTGCTCCAGGAAGTCCGTCTCGTACTCGGCCTGCTGGGCGTCCCGCTTGAGCATGTCCAGCGACCGGCCGACCTTGGAGACGACCCGCAGCATGTCCGCGACGGGCCTCACGACGATGTCCTCCGCGACCTCGTTGAAGGACCAGGAGCTCACGACCACGAGCAAGGAGATGAAGATGATCAGCAGCAGGTCGTAGAACGCCTCGAGCTTGACGACCTGGCGCCGGCTCTGGATGACCTTCGTTTTCGACGCGAAGAAGTCGGGCCCGAGCATCGGGCCGCCGTAGTCGATCTTGTAGGTCACGGTCTCGCCGTAGCGCAGGTTGTCCAACACGTGATCCTTCTTGGGCACGTAGTCGTAGCCCGCGATGCGCAGGTAGAGCACGTCGAAGCGCCGCGCGTAGCTGTGGTCGACGAACGCGCTCCGTTGGGCGTGCGTCATGTTGCCCATGGCCTCCAAAATCTCGCGCTGGGGCTTGTACGCGTTGGGCTCCGCGTCGAGGTAGGGCGTCACGAGCAGCACGACGAGCACGACGAGGAGCATCTGGCGCGAGATCTTCTCCGCGAGGCGCGTGCCCATGGCCGCGCGCGCGGACCCGCCGGCGTCGACCTGCGCGGCCTCGCTCGCGTCCTCCTCCTTGGCGTCGCTGAAGCAGTCGAGGAACTTCATGAGCTTGGCCATGCGCACGAGGCGCACGAAGCGCATGAAGCGGATGAGGCGCACCGCGCGCGCGGTCCGCGTCGTGCCGCGCGCGGACGAGCTCTCCATGAGCCTGCGTGGAACTCAAATCTTCAAGCTGACTTCAATGTGAGCGTAATCGAACGGATTGCGCCGGACTCTTCGGCTGTGCTTCGAGAACTCGACGAGAGCAATTGATTCGTCCAAAAATCAGCCAAATCGACTTCGATTTGATCGAGCTAGAGAGGTTTGAAGTTTTTGCTGGACAGGGCGTTCCACTGGTTGATTTCCACGCAGCCACGAGCGGGCTGCCCCGGCCGCCCTGGAGCCAGGGCACGTCGAGGACGATGGACGCCGCGCCCAGGACGTCGAAGGCCATGAAGACGGAGCCCCAGTAGCCCGGCTCCTTGAGGCTGAGCAGCGCGATCTCGATGGCGAAGAGCCCGAGGAACGCCGTCAGCGTCACGTCGACGCCGAAATCCGCGCGCGGCCGCAGGTACGCGTGGCGGATGCTGTTGCCCACCAACGTCAAGATGGTCATGACGAAAAACAGCGTCTGGATCTGGTTCGTGTGGTAGAGCTTCGCGAGGCCGTCGAGGCACGCGTCGAACGCGGCCCACCTGCGTGGCATTCGACCGCCGGTTCGGGCGGTCCCGACCAAACTTTGAAATGCTCGAGCTCGGTCACGTCGATTCGGCTGATGTTTGGATGAATCGATGGCTCTCGTCGAGTTCTCGAAGCACGGCCGAAGAGCGTGCGTCGAAACTGTCGCGTATTGAAGTCGGGTTGAAGACTCGAATGCCACGCGGCGGCCCGCGGCGTCGACGCGCCCGCGTCGCTGCCGTCGTCGCCCCGGTCCGTCTCCAGCGGGAGCAGACTCGCCTTGCCCTCCTCGACGTCGTCGTGGTCGTGCTTCTCGTCGCCGCCGTGGCCGAAGCCGCCGAGCCGCGACAGCGCGCCGAGGCCGTGCGACACGGAGTGGCTCACGGAGCCCATGTGGCCCATGGCCCAGGGCCGCGGCCGGTGGCTTCGCTTGTGGAACGAGTCGCCGAAGGCGCGCTTCTTCTTCGTCGAATTCAAGCCCGCGGCGAGGTTGCCCTGGTCCATGAGCTTCGTGCGCCGCTTCCGGACCTGGCGGGAACCGCGTGCGGCGCGCCCGACTTTGGAGGCCGGCCGTGTTCCACTCGTTTTCGGCTCATGTTGGGACGGGCGACGATCTCTCGGAGCGCCCTCGACGCGCGGATCCTCTTTCCGGAACGATCGCGCGCGGCCAACTCATGGTGAAGCGACCTCGAACCGCGCGCGTCCCGCGCCGCTCCCGGACCGTCGTCGCCGCGCCGTCGTCGCCGAGGCGCGCGCCGCCGGGCGACTCGTCGCCCGCGGCGTCGAAGGCGGTGTCCTCGCGCTTCGCGCCGTCCTCCGGCGCGCCCGCCGCGGGCGCCGCGGCGGCGCTCGCCTCGGCGTCCTTCGCGTCGACCCATTTTTCGCGGTTCGACGCGAGGCACGCGACGGCCGTACCCTCGAGGCCCGGCAGCATGCGCGCGACCTGGCAGAAGAGGGGCTTGACGATGAAGTCGCTGAAGCCGATGGAGCAGCCCGCCTGGCTCGTCGACGCGCGGTTGCAGTTCGGCGAGATGGGCAGCCCGAGGAGCGCCTCCTTGTCGCCTGTGTGCAAATCAACCAGTGGAACGCCCTGTCCAGCAAAAACTTCAAGCCTCTCTATCTCGGCCAAATCGAAGTCGATTCGGCTGATTTTTGGACGAATCGATTGCTCTCGTCGAGTTCTCGAAGCACAGTCGAAGCGATTGCGTCGAAACTTTCGAATACGCGCACATTGAAGTCGGGTTGAATATTTGATTTCCACACAGCTTGTCGCCCTGGCGGAAGAACTCGTCCATGACCAAATCCGACCACTTCTTGCACAGGTCCCAGGGCCGCGCGGGGTTCGACACGTCCGCCGTGTGCAGCAGCACGTCGCAGACGAACTTGCGCTCCTCGGCCTCGAGCGCGTCCCGTTTCGCGGCGCCGCCGCCCTCGGCGGTCCACGGCGCGGCGTCGTTGAACTTCGTGAGCCGCTCCATGGTCTTGAAGTGCGTCGACATGTCCGTGCCCAAGATCGACGCGCAGATGATGAGGCGGCACCGCCGGAAGTCCTTGTCGCTCAGGCCCAGCAGCAGCTGGCGGTCGCGGACCAACGTGCCGACGACGGCCGCGGAGTGCGCCTCGAGGACCGCGACGTCCGCGTAGCGCAGCGCGAGCTCCGACGCGCTGTTGACCTGGAAGGCGTTGTTCAGGCCCGGGTGGCTCACGTCGTGGCCCAAAGCCGCGACGCCGAGGCCCAGCACGTCCAGCGGCGTCAAAAGCTCCGCGGCGCCGAAGACGAGAGCGTACTGCGCGACCTGGAGGAGCACGTCCGTGCCGTGGTTGAAGTTGTGGTAGGGCGGCACGAGGTCGACCCAGGCCGTGGACATGCGCTTCCGGATGTCGTCGACGAAGCCCCGCAGGGACGCGTCGGCGATTTTGAGGCCCGCGGGCTCGCCGAGGTATTTCCCTAAAACCCGGCAGCACGCGTCCGCGTTGTCCCCCGGGCCCGCGGATATGACGTCGTGGGCCCACGTGAGCGCCGGGTCGTGCGCCGCGAGCCTCGCCGCGCCGGCGGCGTCGAGGGCGCCCTCGCCGTCGTCGGCCGCGGCCGGCGGCGCGTCCGCCGCGGCCGGCGGCGGCGGCGGCGGCGGCGCCGCGGGCGCGGCGGCGTCGCGCGTCTCCTCGTCGTCGGCCATATGGGCTCTCGCCGCGGCCGCGAAAGCGCCGACGCGCGACGCCTCGGGGCGGCGCCGGCGGCCGGGCGCGCTCTGCGGATCCGGCGGGCTGCTGCCGGGGCCGGCTCAGACCATGCGGCGCGGGCGACGCCCGCGCCGCCCCCGGCCGAGTCCGAGGCGCGGGTGCGCGGCCCGGGGAGCGGGCGGAGGCCGAGGCGCGGCAGGCGCGGCGGTGGCACCGGCCGCGGAACAGAGGGCGGAGCGATTGGCAGCCCCACAGCCAGAAGTACTCGGATGGGCTGCAAAACTTCGTCGAGTGGTGTTGAGGCATCTCCGGCTCCTTAACAAATCTCGGCCTTGAAGTTTTTTCGCCGACGTTGAGTTTCGGACGGCGCGGTTTGTCGGCCGAGGGTGCGAGCTCCGGGCAGCCCACGCCAGCCCACGCCGGCGCGGCCATGACGATGGCGCGGGCGGTCATCTCGCCGCGGCGGCCGGAGACGTCGGCGGACCCGGACGGCGAGCGCTTCCGCGAGGGCGACGACGTCGAGGCGCGCTTCCAAAAGGGCAAGAGCTGGTACAAGGCCCGCGTCGCCCGCGCGCGCTCCGACAACACCTACGACCTCGACTACGCCGACGGCGACAAGGAGCAGCGCGTCGAGGCGCGCTACATCAAGAAGGCGCCCGGCCGCGCGCGGTCGCCCGGCGACCGCGGCGGCGCCGCGGACGTCGCCGAGGGCGACGCCGTCGAGGCGCGCTTCAACGGCGGCGAGCGCTGGCACCCGGGCCGCGCGCGGCGCGTCCACGCCGACGGCACCGTCGACGTGGACTACGACGACGGCGACAAGGAGCAGCGCGTGAAGCCCCACCTCGTGCGGCCCCGGGACGGCGACCGGCAAGCGCGGCGCTCCGGCGGCGACGCCGACTTCCGCGCGGGCGACCGCGTCGAGGCGCGCTTCAAGGGCGGCGAGCGCTGGCACCCGGCCAAGATCTCCGCCGTCCACGGCAGCGACGGCACCTACGACCTCGCCTACGACGACGGCGACGAGGAGCGGCGCGTCAAGCCCCACCTCGTCCGCAGAGCGGCGGGCCGGAGCCCGCGGCGGCCGAGCCGGTCCGCGTCGCCGAAGCAGCAGCGGGCGGACCTCGGCGACGACGAGGAGCGCTACATGAACGACGACGCGTCGCTGCTGACGCGCGCCGGGCGCGCGGGCCTGCGGCGCTGGGCCGCGGGCGAGCGCGGGGGCCTCCGGAAGGCCTTGGACCGCGCGGCCCGCGGCGGCGCGCTGGCGCCCCGGGCGTTCCTGCGGTGCTGCAAGGACCGGGACCTGCCGCGCGACCTCGCGGCGGACCTCGAGGCGCTCCTCGAGGTCGCCGCGGGCGGCGGCGACGACGGGAGCCGCGGCCGGTCGCCCGACGGGACCGTCGACGCCGCGGCCGCGCTGGACCTGCTCCTCTTCCCCAACGAGTCGAAGCGGCTCCGCCAGCTGCGGAAGCGCCTGGCCAAGGAGCTGAAGCGCCGGGACGCGAGCCGCGGCAAGCCCGTCGACGTCGCGGCGGAGCTCGCGGGCGGCGACGGCGACGCCGCGGACCCGGCGCGCGTCGCCGAGGTCCTGCTGGCCAACGACGGCCGGCCGCGCTTCGCCTGCGGGTCGCGGCCCCGAGGCGACGAGCCCCTCGTGTCGTCGCGCGACGCGAGCGAGCTCGTCGCGCACTTTGACGCCGGCGGGGTCGTCGACTGCGGCGCGGCCGCGCGGTGGCTCCGGGGAACCGGCGACGACGCGCGCGCCGCGGCCGTCGCGGCGGCGGCGCTCGCGCGCCTCAAGGCCGACGGCAAGGACCGGCGCGCTAAGCGCCTCTTCCGGCCCGTCGACGGCGACGACGCGGGCCGCTGCTCCGCGGACGCGTTCCGCGCCGTCGCCGCGGGCGGCCTCGCGGTGCCGCTCGCGGCGCACGACCTCGACGCGCTCGCCGCGGAGCACGAGGACGGCGCGGGCGGCGTCGACTACGTCAAGGCCCTCTTCCAGGCGCGGAAGCCGACGGGGCGGACGCGGGCCCGGGCGAAGGCGCGCGACGACGACAGCGACGCGGGGTCCCTCGGCAGCGGCCGGGGCGCGTCGAAGTCGCTCTGGCGCCGCGCCTTCGGGAACCGGAGCGCGCGGGACCGGTCCGAGTCGCCCGCGGGGCGGCGCCGCGCGGACTCGGACGACGACCGGCGCGGCCGGGGCAAGGGGGCCGTGGTCTCCGCGGCCGGGCTCGAGAGACTCGCGAAGAAGCGCGACGCGCTCGCCAAGGGCTTCGCGCGCTACGACGGCGCCGTGTCGTCGCGGAAGCTGCGCGACGTGCTCGGCGACGTCGGGCTCGAGGGCGCCGACGAGAAGGCGCTGCTGAAGGTGCTCGACGCCGGCGCGGACGGCGACGGCAAGGTCGACCCCGGCGACTTCCTCGACTTCGTCGACGCGATCGGCGCGGACGACGGCGGCGCGCTGAGCGACGACGGCGAGGACGCGCTCGAGAAGGCGCGCGCGAAGATCGCCAAGGCCCTCGACCGCAAGGACCTGTCGCGGGCGGACTTCCTCGCGAAGCTCGAGAAGGCGGACCGGCGCGGCGCGGGCGCGCTCAAGATGCCGGACCTGCGCGCGGCCCTCGGGCGCCTCGACGTCGAGCTCGGCTCCCGGGAGCGCGACGCGCTCGCGCGCAAGTTCGCCGAGCGGAAGAAGTCGCGGTTCTCGCTGACGGGCGGGCCCTTCGAGGGCCGCGTGCGCTACGCGCCGCTCGCGCGCTGGGCCGCCGCGGACGCCAAGGCCTGCGCGCGCAAGGTCCAGGCGTGCCTCGCGCTGAGCGACGACGTCCGCGAGGCCGCGGGGGACCTCGAGAAGCGGGGCAACGTCAAGTGCGAGAAGTTCCTCGCCTTCGCCCGGGACGCGCTCCCGCTGTCCGAGGGCGAGCTCCGCGGCGCGCTCCGCGCCTGGGACCCGGACCGCGAGGGCGCCTTCCCCGCGTCGAAGCTCAAGGGCGATCGGTCGCGGTCCCGGTCCCGGTCCCGGTCCCGGTCCCGGTCCCGGTCGCGGTCGCGGTCCAAGTCGCGGTCGCGGTCGCGGTCGCCGCCGGGCGGGCGCGACTCGCTCGTCGCGGAGAAGACGCGGAGCGCGCTCTGGCGCTGGGCGAGCGAGCTCCGGGGCGGCCTGCGGCGCGTGTTCCGGTCCGCGGACCGCGACGGGTCCGGCGCCGTCGAGCGCCGCGAGCTCCGGCGCCTGCTGGAGAAGGCCGGCGTCGACGTTGACCGCGACGAGCTCGACGCGCTCTTCGACGCGATGGACGGCGACGGCGACGGCCGCGTGTCCTACCGCGAGTTCGCGCGCTTCGCCAAGTCCAAGGACGAGGACGCGTTTCTGGAAAAGCGGCTCACGGACCTGCGGTCCAAGCTCGCGCGCGCCGCGCGCGACTCGGGCGCGGACGTCGCGCGCGCGCTGCGCAAGTCGCGGGGCGCCGACGACGACGACGAGACGACGCCGGCCGAGTCCTGCGTGCTCGCGCTCGAGAAGGCGCTCGACGTGGGTTTGGGCGACCGCGAGGAGGCGCTGCTCCGGGACGCGTTCGGCGCCGGCGACGACCGCGTCGACTACGGCGACGTCGCCCAGTGGCTCGGCGCGGACGTCGCCGTCGCGGCGAAGAAGGCCCGGAAGGGCCTCGCGGCCTACAAGCGGGACCGCGGCGACTACAAGAAGGTCTTCCGGTCCGCGGACCGCGACGGCTCCGGCGGCCTGTCGTTCCGCGAGTTTTCCAGGGCGCTCCGGGCCGTGACGGCGCTCTCGAATTCGGAGATCCGCGACCTCTTCGAGGCCTTCGACGCGGACGGCAGCGGGTCCCTCGACTACGGCGAGTTCCTCGAGCTCGCGCGGACGGGCGAGGTGCCCTCGAAGAAGAAGAAGAAGAGGCCCGTCGACTCCGGGAGCGACGGCGACGCGTCGCGGGGGCGCCGGCGCGACCGCTCGGACGGCGGCGCGTCCGCGTCGTCCGACGACGGCGACGACGACCTCGCGATCCTGAGCGGCGATTTCCGCAAGGCGCTCAAGCGCTGGGCGAACAAGGAGCGGCTCAAGGGCCGCGGCGGCGTGAGCCGCGTCTTCGGGGACGCGGACGGGGACGGCTCCGGCGATTTGGACGCGAAGGAGCTCCGGAAACTCGTAAAAAAGGCCGTCGACGGCGCGTCGCGCGAGGACGTGGACGCGCTCGAGGCCCTGCTCGACGTCGACGGCGACGGGACCGTGTCCTACGGCGAGTTCGCCGCGTTCCTGGAGGGCGACGGCTTCCGGGAGACGGCGGACGTCGCCAACCTCCGGTCGCGGCTCCGGAAGCAGCTGCTGAAGCGCAAGACCTCGAAGAAGAGCCGGTTCTCGTCGTCGAAGTCGTCGCCCGTGGACGTCGCGGCCGCGCTCGCGGCCGAGGCCGACGGCGCGTCCATGGACCGCGCGGCGTTCCTCCGCGCGCTGGCGCGCGCGCCGCTGTCGCTCGCGCTCGAGTCCGGCGACGGCGCGGCGCTCGCGACGCGCTTCGCGGGGGACGACGACGGCGCCGTGGATTTCGTGCGCTTCGCCCAGTGGCTCGGCGCGGACGCCGCGGGCCCCACGGCCTGGGAGTTCTTCCAGGGCGAGCGCCTGAGCGCCGAGGCCGCGCGGAGGCGCTTCCGCCTGAGCTCGAAGGCCACGGACGACGAGTTCCGGGCCGCGCTCGAGGGGTCGTCGGGCCGGCGCGGCGAGCGGAAGATCCGGGCCGCCGCGTCGCTGCTGTCGAAGCGGCTCGCGGCGAAGACGGGCGACGAGCCCTCGAGCCGCGCGCTCCGCAAGGCCTTCTTCCGGCGCCTCGACGAGGACGGCGACGGCCGCGTGAAGCGGGGCGAGCTGAAGCGGGCCCTGGCGAAGCTGGGCGTGCCCCTCTCCGGCGCCGAGGCCGACGCGGTGCTCGACAAGTTCGACGCCGACGGCGACGGGACCATCGACACGAAGGAGTTCGCGGCCCTGCTCGCCGGCGAGACGCTCGCGAACGACGACGACGGCGACGACGGCGACGACGGCGCGCCGTCGACGAAGAAACGGGCCCGCGGCGTCGCGCGGCGCGTCCGCGACGCGATCCGCGGGGGCCGGGGCGACGACTGGGCCCTCGCCGCCGACGACGCGTTCCGCCGCATGGACGCCAACGGCGACGGCGAGGTCGACGGCGCGGAGCTGAGCGCGTGGCTCGCGGAGGCGCTCAAGCTCGACCTCAGCGACAAGGACAAGCGCGAGCTCGTGGACTGCTTCGACACGGACGGGTCCGGCGCGGTGAGCCGCGACGAGTTCTTCGACTTCGCGCTCGAGCCGCCGCGGGGGTCCGAGATCGGCGGCGTCGCGAAGCGGCTCCGCAAGGCCTTCGGCACCGACGGCCTGCTATCGTTGCGCGTCGAGCTCGGCCGCAAGGACCGCAACGGCGACGGCGTCGTCAAGCACGACGACTTCTGGTCAGCGGTGTCCGCCGTCGCGGGCGAGCTCGACGTGAAGCCGGCGAAGCTGGACCTGCGGCCCGCGGACCAGCGCGCGCTCGAGAGCCGCTTCGCCGCGCGCGAGCGCGGCGGCCTGCGCTACGCGCACGCGCTCGCGTGGCTCGACGCGGGCCTCGCCGACTCGGCCATCGCGCGCCTCAAGGCGAAGCTCGACGCGCTCGAGCGGCGCCGGGGCGCGCAGCGCGTCGACGCGCGCGCGGTCTTCCGCAAGGCCTGCGGCGCGAACGACGCGTTAAGCCGCGACGACCTCGGCCGCGCGTGCGAGAAGTGCGGCGTGCTGCTGAGCGACACGGCGCTGGACGCCGTGTTCCGCCACTTCGACCGCGACGGCGACGGCACGGTCGACTGGGGCGAGTTCCGGTCGACGCTCTTCGCCGCGTCGAGGCGCGAGGGGTCCGACGCCGGCACGCCGCGCGGCGACCCGGCGGCCGACGGCGACGGCGCGCTGGCGACGGCGCTCGAGGCCGTCTTCACGGCCTACGACAAGAACAGGGACGGGTCGCTCGCGCGGAGCGAGCTCAAGCGGCTCGCGCCCCACGCGCTCCGCGCGTTCGGCCTCGACCCGTCGGAGGACGATTTGCGGCGCTTCGAGGACGCGCTCAAGCGGGCCGCGCGCGACGGCCGGCGGAGCCTGACCTACGGCCAGTTCGAGGCGGCCGCGCTCGGCGAGGTGCGGCGCGCGCTCGACGCGCGCGCGGGCGTGCCCCAGCGGGCCGCGTGCGCGTTCTCGGAGCTCAAAGCGCGGCTCGGCGCGCTCGCCGGCGGCGGCTTCCGACGGGAGATCCCGCGGCGGGCCTTCGACGACTTCTGCGGCGGCCCGCTCGCGGGCGGCCTCGCGCCCGACGAGGCCGCGGCGTTGGGCGACGTCTGCGCGGGCTACCGCGCGTCGGACCGCCATGCGGCGCGCGACGACGCGGGCGGCGACGTCGTCGACGCGGAGGAGGTGCTGCGCCTCGTCGCCGCGGCGGCGTCCGGCGGCGCCGAGGCCGCGGCGGCCGAGGCGCGCGCGGCGCCGTACCGGCGCCGCGGCGGCGACGCGGCCGCGACGTGCGACAAGGCCGCGGCGGCCGCGGCGAAGCTGCTCCGCGGCGCGCGCGGCGACCCGAGCGACTACATGCTCGCCTTCGGGGACCCGGCGTCGGCGCTACCG